TAATAGATAAATAAGTGGAGGCCCAGAAAAATCTAAGTAACTTGCCTGAAGTGACACAGAGTAAGTTTCAAAAAAAGGACTTGGCTCCACAGCTGTTAATCTGCAAAATCTTTGGTGGTCTTTCTGATACATTAAGTATTTCTGGAATCAGAAGGCTGTCCACCGCAAGAACTTGAGAACTTGGCATTGTTCAGTACAACGTAAAAGGCAGAATTAAGAGGTGTTTAAAACATTGCTCATTGAAGCTAATATACAATTTTACATGGCCTGTCTTTTAGGACCATGAGCACTTCCTACTTCTACAAAAAAAAGTATAGAAGGATGAATCAACATATTGGCATAGTCGTGACATAAGTGGATGTGTTTTAGCCACAAAGAGCTTGCTCATCAAGTGTGTTGAAATTTGCTTTACAAAAATAGGCCAGTAGGGAAGAGAGAAGGCTAGGAGTAGAAGCTGCAAATATCGCAGGCTGGAAAAAATGATCCCCAGTTTTTTGTGTGCAAGCCTTTGTGAATAGAATCCAACAATCTGCTGTAGTTTCCAAAAGATCCCGGTGAATCTGAGATGATGCAACCTTATGTCAGCATTTGTCCTACTGGAAAGAAATTGGGCAATGGCCTTGCTAAGCCAAATTGGGAGCAGCATTACTTTTTGGTGCTATCAGTCATTAGGAGTGGAAGCTAGGCCATGAGGTCAGGAGACAAAGTCAAGCCTTTCTTCTTTTGACAACAATAGGTAGAATATCTAACACTCAAATACAGAGGATGAAGTTAAACATTCTAATCCTGGAGAGAAACTGAAGTCCTAATAAGCAAGTGTAAGGCAGAATCCTAGATATACAAACAAGAGGGCAGTGCAGGGGCAGGAAAAGGTGGTATACACTATAATCATATGAGTGGCCAGCACTCAATGCAGACCCATCAGACAACATAAAATTAATGCCAGACATCACTGGTATACTAGTTCACAGAATACGTTGCCACCCATATTTGGATTGTTTTAAGAATTTAAAGGTTAAGATCCTATAGTGTGGATCAACTTGAAAAAGGTAAAAAGTAAATGGGTAGAACAATGTCTTGGTTGTTATATTCTCAAAACTGTGACACAATACCTGATACCCACAAACTGAAGAAGGAAAGGTTTATTTTAGCTTATAGTTTGTAGCAGTTTTCGTTCACACTAAGCTGGGCATGGCAGAGGAGAGAAGCAGTCCATAGGCAAGAGACAGCAAGCAGGAAGCCCCTGGGATTATGTTGCAGCTGGGCTACAAACCTATTGGAGGGTGGCACTCACACCAGGGTGAGGGTGGGGCTTTCCATTATCTGTATCCAGAGCTATGCTAAGCCAATCAGTGGACTAATTTAGCTATCACATACCATTAATCCATAGTCATACACACTAATCCAGCATCACACATCCACAATCCTGACACTATAAAAGCACCACCTGCAAACACATCAGGTTTTGAGGGAACATCTAGACACAAGCCATAGCAAACAACAAATGTTATCTTTCATTCAACTGATTGTTTAATTCTTCAGTCATTAAGCATTTACTGAGGATCCCTTCCTACCCAACACAATGAATTTCAGGACTAGGTAACAACTAGCAAATATTACTAATACTATTGCTCATGAAAATCATTCATGCTTAACTGTATTGGATCTAAATTTTACCTGATTTAATACTTGTTTCTAGTCCATCAACAACTATACTATAGTCAATGCTTATCATGTACTAGTCCTTTTACTGGTCAACAAATTGTTTTATATTCCATCTTTCCACAATACTTCCTATTGCTATACGTTTTCAGCCTCTCCCCTTGAAATTTCTTATATGTCCTTTACCTAAAAGGATGTTTGAATGTGTATAAAACAGAAGAAGAATTATCCTTTGACCCTTATTGAACATTAAAGATGACTTGTATATATTGGATACATTTCTAAATAGAAACAACAGTCTTACAAAGTACATAATATTGTGTCCAAATTTTGTGGTTGAGGCACAAAATGGTTAACTGAATTTTTCTAAATCAAACAGGTAGTAAGGGACAGAGCAGGAATCCCAAACCAGCTGACCTCACTTTTACTGCCACATCAGATATCCCTTCTCTAGTCCTAGTTACCTTTCTCAATCTTGTCTCATGCAGAGGCTGTCTACTCCATCCAATTCTCTGCCTTTTGGCATCAGCCACAGTATGGGCCATGTCTCCAGACGTGCTCATTGGCTGCCAGCTCCTAGGCCCTCAACTGCCAGCTCAGTGGAGAACTTCACCTCCATTGCCGTGTCCTCATGTTCTGTCTATTCAGGTCCCCCAGGATTAGGAGAAGGTCCTACTTCACCAGTCTGGATCACACATGCCCAAGAAGTCATCATAGCTCTCCCACAGAGAAACCTAAGCTGGCAGTTTCAGGAGGCCCTAACTCCTTCCAGCACTCAGGACTCAGTGGCAGAGCAGTGTGGTATGACTGCCCTGCAAGGCTGTTGATGCAGCCCAGGAGTCAGCAGAGTTGAAAGCCCTGAGAGAAATGCTTCCCAGTAGCATACAGGAGGTGTCAGAAGGGGCAGTTAGCAAAAATGCCTCTTTTCCCAACATGTTGGACTGTTCCACAGCGCAGGTAGACCCAAATGGACTATCCAGTCCCTAGACCGCCGGCTGTGTTTTCTCATGCAATTCTGAACCGCTCACAATGCAACTCTGTATTTGCTTTCCCCTGGTCTGCTTCATGTTCCTTTCCCCCTCATTCTTGGTGCCTTGAGATTGTACTTCTCAGTGAAGCATTAGCCTCAGGCTCTATTTACTGGAGATAATTATGACAATCCACTGTCTACAAATATTTGAGGTGTCTGTAAGTGTTTCTTCCTGCAGGAACCTTGTATGCACACTTCTCCATTGAGCTCTCTTGCTGATACATCAGGTGATTTTCGCATCACCAAACTGAATGAGTGAATGTTTTTCAATCCTTATTTCCTTCGAATTCTTTCATACTGTTAACTAGATATTTTTCTGGTATGTCACAAGATGGTCTGCTTTTATTCTGACCTAGTCAATATCATTCACATCATCCCTGTGCTCTATTTCTTTAGCTAAACTTTAAATATTGGAATTAAGCAGAATTCTTTTCTCTCTTTTGTTTTCAGTCTTTCTGAGTTATTTCCTCCATTGTCTTCATTTATGTATAATTTGATAGAGGCACAATCTTCCTTAGTGTAGACTTCTCTTTAGGCAATTTTATTCCTAGTTAAGTACCTGCAAACACATTGCACTGCCATCTCTCTCTCTCTAATATACATATATACATATATACATATATATATCATATACAATGTGTACAGTATATGTGCATTATATATGTTCATTTATGCTTTCAGAAACACTTTCCACTCTTATGCACCCTTTATGCCTTGGGTGATGGATTTGCATTGACTATCACAAAAGTCTTCCTTGTTCTTCAGATTCTGGTTGAACCTGTGGGTATAGGACTCAGCTCTTGTTGTCCATTTCTTGACAAGTTTTTTTTTTGAGTATTTTTGCCACTATAATATACATTTTGTCACACAATATTTAAATGACTACTTTCTTTGTCCCATGCAACTTCTGTGGATAACACCTCAATTTATGCCTTTCCCTATCTCCAATGACTACATTATGGATTAAATAGGTGCTCAAAATCCATGCCAATGGGCCGGGGAGATGGCTCAGTGGAATAAGCACTTCCCTGGCAAGCGCAAGGGCCTGAGTTCAATCCCCAGTTCTGGAAAAAAAAATCCATGCCAAATCAAAAAGGACACCGATAAGATTTTCCCCCAGCTTCAAAGAACTGATGGTTCATTTGGACCTCCCACAGCTAGTATGTAAAAATAATAATTTGGAGTAAATAAGCAACCAACTTTTCCATACTGTTAGAATATGAAGACTCCTATGGTTTAAGGTGTCAGCAAGATTTTATGATCTCACATTAAAAAATACAGATATTGAGGGCTAGTGCGATAGCTCAGTGGATTAAACACATGCTTGGCAAGTGCAGCGACCAGGTTCCATCCCTGGTCTCCATAATATGCTGGCCCTACCCTCAGGGTACACTGAGTCCCGGCATGGTGGCAGATGCCTGTAATCCCAGTTCTTGGGAGGCTGAAAATAGGATCATTAGGAGTCTAAACTGTGTAGTGAGACCCTGTACCAAATACAAAAAGAAAAAAAATACAGATATTGAATTTATCTTTAAAATGAACTTGCATATAAACCACACACAATCAAACCTCAAAACAACAATCTCTAAAACAGTAACAATGGCAATAACAAAAATTAAAACAATAATAGCAGCAACAAAACAAAACATTATCAACCTATTCTCTTTTCAGTGCCTACATTGTTACTAAAAAAAAAAAAAATGCACAATGCTTGATATTCATTCTAAATAAGGAGATGGCTGATCATTTCCGAGGTTGAGTTAAATGTTACTCATAGTTGTCTCTGCAGGTATGGAAGTAGCCTGACCTAAGGCTTTGGATTTAAAAGATTATGGATATTGGGGTTAGGTGGCTGTTCATTTGTGAGTGGGTAGGCCAACAAGGGATGGTGCCTGACCCCATTCCAGAGCTACCAAGATGGACCTGGAAATCCCACCAAGGCAGATTGTTTGGCATTTTAGTGTGTTGCAAATTATCATGCCATTTAAAAGTCAATTAACATTAGTGTTGCAGTACTATATAGCTTCAATTTATATAGTTTTCTATGAAGTACCAAAGAATTGTTCCTAGCTGGAGAATGCTGATTTAGGAAAGAATAAATCTTCCCCAAAGCTGCTGCTATTGATTGAATTATTAGATCAAGAGTGCAAAGTATACAGTGTCATTATACTTTAATGGTGAGATTCAGTGCCTCAAAACCTACTTGCATGTCTTACTTAGGATTTCTATTCATGATAGTTCATCAACAAGATATAAACACATTGGAAGTAAATTACTAATTTTTGTTGCAGCATAGGAGACAATGTAAATTTCTTTGGTTCGTGAGCGTGATGATTGAGTGTTCATGCCGTATGCGTGAGATGTGTCTCCCTCTATCCTTGATATCATGTGGGTACATTAATGATCTGACATGGGAAAAAAGGAAGACCATTTGAATAAACCTCAATGAAGAGAAAAGACTTATTTCATACATTTTGTATTAGTTTTGTTGAACTGTCAGCCTTAGCCTTCTTCTAAATAAAAGTCATAGATTTCTGCTTCTGGTTCACTGGGAAGCTTTCCATATGCCTGTGTAAATACCTTTTACTTGTATCACCATGGAACATGCATACTAACTTCACTCTGGGTGATCCTACAAATATAATTTTTGAAACACTTAACTTCCATGTTAAGATTATATTCCATGATAACTGATAGCCACCAGTAGGTTTGTACAAATTTTGGCCTTCAGAATTTTATGATCTTAAAATGAGGCAAACTGAGATCAGGCAATTATTAGTATTAGTATTTACTATTGGGGCATAGTAAATCAGTGTATAGGTTTAAGCATGCTTTTAAAATTGAGTAATTTAAACAGCAGTCGCTGCATAATTAGATGAATCAGAAAGATTGAAGATCCTGGATTCAATTCTCAGAATCATGCTTATGTACAAAAAGTTACTGTTTATTTAAGTATGTTTTGGTAGTACAAGCTTGGGATCCTAGGTATTTGGGGCTGAGGAGGGAATATCTCTTTAAGTACAGCCTATTTATTTATTTATTTATTTATATTAATTTTATTGAGGAACAAATGGCAATGAGACACTTTCAAAACAGATTCATATTTATTTATTTATTTATATTAATTTTATTGAGGAACAAATGGCAATGAGACACTTTCAAAACAGATTCATAGGACAGTTTCAATAATTAGTACATTGCATATTGTTGTCTTGGTAATGGTTATTCATAGTACAATATGCAGGCATGATATCCTGTCCAAACATTATTAGTACAAATCTTTCTTCTCATTGAATTAAGAGAAAATAGCTGCATATCTATCCTAAATATTTTGAATATATAGATACACAATAGTCCTTCATTTATATCCCCTTTTTTGTTTAGTTTTGTCAAAGATTGGTATTCCATTGCTAGTTAAATATTGTATCTGTGTGAATTCAGCATAATAATTCAATATAGTCCTATAGTCCACAATAGTAGTAGGTTATCCATAGGACTGGCAATGTCAGAAGTTGTTGACTTGAGCCTTTTACAGTTCAGTATATTAATATGGCTTTTTTTATACCTCTTTTTAATACTTTTCTGCTGGATGGTTAAGACCAAGATAAAACAAATCCTATGTAATGAGAAATGTAACTTTTGTATCTGACAAGGTCAGTCAAATCTCCTCAGGATTTACACTGAAACCTTGTACTGCAGTTTGTAGATCCTTTGTCAGTGTCAGCCATCTGGATGAGTCATGGCCATTGCTTGACCAATTTGTTTTCTGTGAAAGCCTGATAGAATGTTTTCTCTCCATGTGACTCTCCTTGCGCACACTCTACATCATTGATCACTTTCCTCTTTGGACCCATATTCTCCTTGATCAGAAAATTTGGTACACCACTGAGTTACAGGATGTTACAGTACAGGTTCTCTTATGTCCTGAGTCCTCACTGACCTTGAAGGGCTAGGGCCAAAATGGTGAGGACAGCCTTAATAATAATGCTGGACATAAAAAATTGTTTATCTAATTTATATACTGCAAAACGTTCTTTTTTTTTTTTTAGACAAAAATGCACATTGAAGAGCATTTTAAGGTGAAAGTTACCTATTCATTCCTGAATAAATACTTCCTTCATTAAATAGTGTGCTAGGTGGTATGACTGAATGTTTCCTCCATCCTGAATTCATATGTTGACATCTGAACCCCAGTGTGATGGCATTTGGATGTCTGACCAATGGGAGGCAACTGGGTCATGATTTGCATCCTCCATGAATGGGATCCATGCCCTTAGGAGGAGACAGCATAAGGAGGTCTAGCTTCTTCTTTTCTGCCATGCGTGGATTTAGCGGGAAGTGGGAAGTCTCCAAACTGGAAGTCAGTTCTTACCAGATCATGAGATTGCAGAGATCTGACCTACGATTTCCAACCTCTAGAACTCTTAAGAAGTACATCTCTTTTATTTATCTGATATTCTTTCTGTGGCACTTCATGATAGCAGTGTAAATTGAGCTACCAGGCACCAGTCTGAACACTGGAGAGGCAATAACAAAAGACATTGGGTTTATTTGCTCAAAAAGCTGAAAAACAATTAAGATAAAATTAGAGTAATAAACAGTGAATGTTCAGATACTTTGCTCAGGGGAGTGGTAGTGTACGTAAGGAAACATATGGGAAAATGTCATAGAAGAAGAGAGTGGGTGGGTAGAGAATACAGTAAGGTAGGCATGAACATTAGTAGCAATTGAAAGCACAGAGAATGAGCTCAAATTTCAGCAATGATTTTTGGAATTTCAAGTAGGAAAGAGCAAACCAGTGCTGTAAATGCCCAGACTGTACAGGCTTAGACAACCCTTGGGCATTTACGATATCAGAAATACAAATGTGCTTTTGATTGATGGAAGGAAGCAGTGATAGGTAAAGGTCATTGGGAGTATGAGTTGACATCTTAAGGCACTTGATGAGGGGCAAACCCCTAAAAAACAGTGATTGCTTTGAGGAAAGGAAAGATGGAGGGCTAGTGAGATGGAACACTTCTAGTGGTCTGAATTTGAGTAAAAGCAATGGTGAGCTCCATAATGAGGAACAATAGAAAGTTTTTGTGGATCCATCAATTTATGGGATAGCCATGAGTTTGTGGAAGATAAATTGTCTTAGTTACTCTTCTCTCATTGTTGGGACAAATACCCGACACCCAAAATGAAGGAAGGAAAGGTTTATTTAATTCACAGTTACTGGAGGCTTCAGTCCATACTCACCTGGTTCCAAGGTAGAATGGCACATGGCAGAGAATAGCCATTCATGGTGGTGACAAAGAGCAGACAGCAAGAGCAAATGGGAGGGCTGGTGAGATGGCTCAGTGGTCTAAAGCACCTATTTAGCACAAGCTTAGCAAAGCACAGGGACCACGGTTCAATCCCCCAGCACCACATGCCTGCCAGCCATGCCCCCTGGTGGGCTGAGCTGGCCACCCCCCCCCCACACACACATAAATAAAATAAAATTTAAAAAAAAAGAGCAAATGGGATAAGTAGCAGCAACAATGATTATGGCAAGTAAGTCTGTCTCCCTTATGCTGTATTCACACTATCCACCCCAGGCTGGGGGTAGTACTCACACCCATAATCCCAGCAGCACTCACATCTGTAATCCCAGTGGATCATGAGTTAATCACAAACTCTAGAAGTCCACCCCATGATTAGATGAGGCTTTGGGGGGACAACTACACACAAACCATAACATAAGTTAAAGTCAAAAGTCTAACTTGCTTAATTATAAGCAAAAAATATATAGAGTTATGCTCCTTTTTATTCAGGAGCACATCTCTAGACATTAAATCTATGCTTAAATGACACTCATTTAGATTTCTGAGTTTATTTTGATTTTGTATTTTCTGTATTTACACTTGCTAATATTATCCCTCAAATTAACCACAACTGATGATCATTTTGCCAGAGATAATGTGAGCATTGAGAATTCCTCACAGAGGCTGATACTGACAGAGAAGGCTGGGGGATTGGTCAGGATGGAACTTTGGACTGGAAGTATTGCACAAAGTTTTCTGTACATTTACATTTGTAGCTTCTTCCTCACACATAAGCACTATTTGTTCTTAAGCATTCTTTCCTATATTGACTTAAAAGCTTGACCCAGAAAGATTCAGGCTACCAACCCTGGCTATCTGTATGACTGCTGTTTCTATTTTATTTTTCTATTTTCTCCCTCTTCTACTTCAGCTTACTTACTGTTTAACCATTATGGAGGTGTCTTATGGTGGAACATTGTGGTGGAACAATGTGAGAAGTGCCACTTTAATCCGGATAATCTGACTACATTCTGGGGCCATCTGTCTGGGAGTTAGCCTTGCTATTCAGTGTAAGAAAAAGGGAAACCTTCCAACAGAATGCTAGCTGTACTGACCCCTTTTAGCACATGCACAGAGTAAGTATTTTTGTGAAGGAACTACAAGAATGAAGAGTCAATAATTCTTGTGAGACAGAAGAAAAATAATTTTAAAATAACCTAGAATATATTTGAAGACTAAAAGGACATATTCTGAAAAAACTGCGATCTATACCATACTTTCAAGAATAGATACACTGTTTCCTTTCATCTACAGATGAATGGTCTTTCAGGTAAGACGGTATTTCACTTTACAATCATACAGTGTCAAACCAGAGCCATTGTTCTAAGGGAACTGAACCTTCTGCCACTTTAGTAACCCCCAAGTGCTGGCTGGTGACTCGTTTTTCTTTTCATTTGATTTGACTGTGACAAGAAACAAATTCACAGACGTGGACTTGCCAGCGAGGGTGGCCATTGGATAGCTGACCTTAGCAAAATCAGTCCAATAAGTGAGTTGTAGTCGTCACTACAGTTGGATCTATCCGAGGGTGACAATGAGAAACATGGACTTTCTTGCTAGTTCATAATATTCAGACACAGAGATTATTGCAGAAAATATTTGTTTATTGTAGTCAATGTTACTATTTGTTTGCATCTTTGTATGAATTCACAATCACCCTGCCTCAACTCTTCAAGCCCTGGGATTATAGGTGTGAGCCATCAGAAAAGTTAAGTGTTTTATACTCTGTCTCTTCAGATATTTATGACAACCTAATCAGACACAAATTATTTAGCTTTTATTTTTTTAAGATTAGGGATTCATGGTCCAGAGAAATTTAGCAATTTAGGGCAAGTCAATGTAGACCCTTGAGTAAAATTTAAAACGCCTGAATCCTAAAATCTCACCTTAGTCTCTAGGACCACATAGCTTAGAGGATAGGCCAATGTCATATGTGTACATGTTCTGTCACAAAACCTAGTGATTGGAAGCTGCAGCATACATATTGTTTATTTATTTTTAATGTATTTGGTACAAGGTCTCACTATGCAGTTCGGACTCCTAGTGATCCTCCTGTTTTCAGC